ATATGTATAACGTGGAGGTTAAACCAAAAGCAGACTGTTGATCGTTGTGAAAAAACCCAAAACAGCAGAAAACCTCTCAGATTATTTGTCTCTTTTTGTCTGCTGGTAATAACCATGTGTTGGGCTAAAGGAGGCTTCCAGAACCTCTCCCTAGAGAGAAAACATCTTTTGGTAAACCATGAAGCTTAATATTTCCTAAACAACTTTGTCTGGACTATTGATGAAAAAGAGTAATCTTAAATCCATCAGGATTAACAGGGACTGCCTTAGAGAGCTGATCCATGTTAGGAAATGATCCACATCAAGCATCCATCTTAGCATTTTTGAAACTGGGATGATAGGCAAGAGGAATATTTCAGCTCCAAAACTATATCCCCAAAAACCTATCTAGGGTTCTGTTGTTTTGTGGTTTGGATGTGTTTCTGAGAGTTGTTTCATATAAGGATGAGTTATTTTGCAAGTGATGCCACTTCTCCAGGACTCGGTTGAAAGCCAGCTTCTTCACCTTACAGACATGGTATCTCTGAAGATGTTGTGAGAACTTCCTTTGAATCAGCAGCATAGGTGAAGTTTCCTCACTTAACCTTGTTGAGAGAGTATAGCCCATTTGGAAACATTAAACACCACTAATAAGCTTTAGCAAGATCGGGATGAAGTAAGACAGGTGCAGTGGTAAGCAAGTAAACATGGCCTCCAAAGATAATCTGAGGGCTAAGTGTGGTTAGCAGGCTTGGTGACTCCAGGGCAACAACAGTGCTAAACTCTGAAATAATGCGCTGAAAGAAATGATGACATTTCAAAAGGTTTTGCAGCTTATAGAGGCAAGTCGGTTGAGGTCAGTGAGTCACCAATTGACCTTTCTGTAGATTTATGGCTTTTTTTGAAAGAGATTGTAAAAGCAAGGAAGGTGGCGGAGTGCTGTTGGAAATCACATTCACCTTGTTTACAAAATAACTGGTGCACGAGTAGAAATGTGCTTAGAACCACCTACACATGGTGGACACATTATACTTCAGACCAAGAAGAGGATGTAATCCAAGTAGACAAACACCTACCGGCCTAGCAAGTCACAATGGAATGTTATTAATAAGGTGGAAAACTACAGGAGGATTGAACAGGACAAACTGCATAATTAGGTGCTCCAAATGACTATCAGGGGTGATAAGGGACTTCTTACATCAATCTCTTTTTTTATATGCAGCATTTGTTCAAATATATCCCAAGCTAAAGACAAAAAGTAATTTGTTTTTCTTCAGGTGTTGCCCAAAGGATATTTGTAGAGGTTGGGGTAGAACTTGAGGGGAAATGGGTGAAGAGGATGCAAACTAAAGAAGTAAAAGGAATTGTACACAAAAGCCAAGAGGATATCCAATGGGATACGGTGTCAAACAGAAGACTTAGGGGCTGTAGATGTTTTGCAATGGAAATGTTTAAATCTATAAGAAGTTGAATGTGGTTCTGATATGACATTTACAATCTTTAAAGCAAGATCCATTTTCACAGACAGGGTTTTATGAGTCTCACTCCCACCCATAAAGATTCTGCACACATAGATGTTAGCCCATTTCAATGTAACTGTTTAAGTGTGAATTTGAGATTTCCCTAATGTAAACGATGTAGTTGTCATTCCACTTCCACTCTGATGCTTGGGGAAAAAAAATAAAAAATTCTCCAACTATTTAGCAATTTGCTGACAATATTTTCAGGCTAGTGGCTTAGTACTGAAGAACATGGCATGCCATTCCATGGCATGGCTGAATAGAAGGGCCTTAACACTGCAAATGGGTTAACACATAAGGGAATTATTTAGTAGGATGACAAGAAAAAAAGGATGCTGACTGGCAAGGAGAATATTCAAATGAATGTTGACAAAAAAAAAAAAAAAATAGCTAATTGAAGTTAACTCCACTAGGTCTATATTACTCTTAGACACCCTTTCTTTGAGAAGCGAGATCAAGGACACTGAGACAGAACTACTTGTGTAGCGGACTGGCTACAGAACACAGTTTGGGAGCTAGTCTAACAGAAGGAGTGGATAAGAAACTGGGATGGTGAAGAGAAAAATAAATGACTAAGATGGTAAGACGATCAGAGTGTAGCTTGTGGCATAAGGGAATAAGGCGTAATTGAAGTATTAGCCGGTGTTGTTTCATTTTGAGGCCAATCCCTGAGGTCACCTGACCACAACCCGAGTCCAAGCTTTCTTAGTAAATACAGTTTTCTTACTTAGGTGTTTGTTTTTCCTTCATATGGTTTGAGGAAAACTTCAAAAAGGTTTTTTTTATTGCTTTACTTTAAATTTATAGAAGTCAGTTTTGTGAAACACATGACTACAAGCTTTGTTGATTAATGATTGCTTTCATGTCTGTTTGGGTTTTGGCCATGTATTATAGCCAGGAGGTTTCCTAGCTTCCGATAGTCGATTGAGCAGAGCGCTATGACATGTTTAAAGTTCTGGATTTTGTTTCAGAACCAACTGTAATCCTGCTTTAAACTTCTACTTAAAAATTTGCTTGGCCAGTTCTTTTTTGTGGCTGTCTGTTCTTTAATATCTATGAATATTGTCAGAAAAAGAGAACAGCTATATCTATACTCAGATTAAATGACAAACCATTAGGTAGGTATGTACTTCTAAAGTGAGTTGTTTACACCGGTTGTTTTTTAAAGGGAACAAAGGAATATTGATACTCACAATAGAAATTCACTGTATCCATCAGTAAAGAGAGCCCTTATTCTTGGAGGGTTCCTCTTGAAAATAGTTATCTAAAGATTTCAAAATAAGATATATTATTTAAGGTAAAATATTCTGTTTTTAAGACATTTGGAGGTTTTTTTAAATTTCCTTACAGTTTTATAGAAAAACCTTACTGCTCCAAGGACACTGATGAGCTCACCAATACAACGGAGGTGGTCAACTGGGTTGTTTTCCACTGGGAAGGGTGGCTGTGGGTAAACCAGAGTTTTAACTTAATAATGGGAATACATTCATCCCCTACAACAGTTCAGTGGACGATTGCCTTTTTCCTTTTTCTGCCTTACCTTTCCGTCTTTTCTGTAGAAGGCCACTGTGGTGAAAATGGCCAGATACATTGAATAAAATATGAAGTTCATCAAAAATAACTTGGAAGCAAATCTATTCCATTTATCCTGAAGAAGACTGCGTAGAGGTTCGATCCTCAGCATTTCTGTGCGTTTCTGAAACAAAACTTCACAAGTCAGGCTTTACATTTACAATTAATGGCTCTCCCTCAGTTGCTTTTTAATTCCAACGTGTAAGATTTTCCTGTCAGCCTTTTACCCATCAGTTTGCATGATTCTTTATCTATAAAGACCAAACTTTTCTTTTTCCTTAGTTAAAAGTTAAACAGAAACAAGCTTCAGTTAGTACAGCCAAGGTAAAAAAAACTGAATCTGATTTCATCATGTCAAGCACTTTGAATTGTCTTGTTGCAAAAAATGTGCAAACTAGAGGACTGGTTAAGAGCATATGCCCTGGTCAAATGCTTGCACTGATAGTGATCTCAGTATGCTGCCCGTTCATGACACCACACCTGTGTGAATCATCTTATGACAACGCATGACAACCGTGTAATATGTGGTTAGGAGATAATGGCCATTTTGCTACTTTTTGCAATTGGCACTGTATGAGTAGCAACACACAGCTGGATTTGTGGTCTGCTTGGTTTCAGTGTTACTAAATGCCATTTGCACATACATTATTTAGCTAAGATATCTTGCTTTACTGGCTTTTCTTTTCTTAATGGAGCTTGATCTTTTAATCACTGCATGGACTTTGGTTTTTATGAATGGGACATTGTTGGACCCGGACTACCTGCAGATGGACGGAGCTCACTATTCTCTTGTATTTTTACACCTGTATGGTCTGGGCAATGCAATAATTTTTTGCTAAAATCCTCAGGTAATATGGAAGCATTATTCATACCACTTGGCATATTAGAAAAATATGAAATGCTGAAATGGGGAAGAAGGGGTTGCGTCAGTCAGAGATTGCCACTCACTGCCACTCCACCCCCTACCTTTCACTTAATTGTTGCTGTGCAATATTCAATCTCTACCAAACAAAATGGATACAATCTAAGCCAGTTACTCATCTGGAAAATTTAAGAGACTTGTGTAAAGTTTTTTTTTTTAGCGAAACATGGCTAACTCCTGGGAATCAACTTAATCTACTTAAATCAATAGTGGTGCAAGTACATCGCTTTTAGAGATACCACGTGTCCTCTTTTCCTTAAGATAATATCTGTGACTTTGCACCCTTTGTATTTTCCCTGTAAATTTCCCGAAATATTTCTTAACATGGTAAACTTCAATCTAAAGTTCATATTTTCCATTCCCATGAATGACCATCCTGATGTGGAGGGGATCGTCATTAGCAAAATCAATTCGGTCTGACTCCCAACTCATCAATATTGACACTTCGTCAAGCCCCTGTCGTGTCAGACACCGATGTAGTAGCAGTACTTCTTTCGTCATTATTTTTGACACACAAGGTGCATGACAGCTTGTTGCAGGAACTTGCAAAAATTTTCTATGAGCTCAAAGTAAAAAGAATAGCACCAACCCATCTCTTACTTCAACCAAAACCCCTTAACTTAAAGAAACGCTAGTATATACATGCTACCATACACACCTATCAAAAAACATTTTTAGGTTAAAATGTTTTAAAAAATGTATTGCAGGTAAAGTGCATGTCACATGATACAATGTTTGCAACCTGTCATTTACCCTGGGTGTCAATGTCAAGAAGGTTACCCTCTTGACGTAACTATGTGATGTTCAAGGGGCTTTGACCAAGAGACAGCATTTGACGAATAGGGAGAGAGAGTGTGTTGGCAAGAGGCCCCCAGATTCTGAAAAAATTACATACGATTTGAAGAGATCTAACAGTCAAACAACGCTGTCCAGTTAAATGTTTATGTAAAACTCTGAAGAAAGATAGAAAACCAGGAAACATATAGACGGAGTGCATGTCAGGGGAAGCTAAAACTAGTTATCACAAGAGGATGACTTCTGGACAAGAAGACAACTTTAATGTTGCCAAATTTTCTTACTGAAGGGTGGAGCACTATGCTAAACCAACAGCAGAAGCTAATGCAAGTGCAGCTGCTCACTGGAGTAAGAAAACATGGGCATGTCCACTCCCCTGAACAAACGCTGAATGAAACTTTGAAAGTAAAACTTGGGAAAAACCCTAAAAAAGATACTCCAGCTTTGTTTGGAGCTGTTACGAATGACACAGCATAATATAATAGGAATATAGAGTTGAAATTATACTTAAAAATATGATATACTTACAGGAACTTCGCTCCCAAAGATGATAATCTCCAGCACAGAGTTTTTTTCATTGGTGTCGATGGAACTCATGTCATAAAGAGAAGAGTGAACAGGTCCATAGACCCATTCTGTGAACTTTCTGGACAGCGGTCGTCTTTCCTCATCCATAAATTCTCTGTTTAATATGTGCTTAAAAAGCTGTCCAAAGAGAGAGCAAAATGGTGGGGATCACTACCAACAAGTTCTTGTTAAACGGAAGCATCTTTAAGAAGCAAACAGACTAACCCCAATCTTTCCGAGTTTGGCAGCTAGTTTAAGCGGTGTGAGACCTTCGTTGTTCTCAATCAATTCCAGCTGGATGTTGCTGTCTTCGTTAAGCTTGTAGTGCTGAACAAGGATTTTGTCATACATGTTTGCAACAAGTTCTGTGTTTTCTGTTGTGTCATCTGCTATCACCACCAGAGTGTGCAAAACAGTGTTTCCTTGTGAGTCTTTATCAGTCGGATCGGCTCTCCTATAAGGGTTTTCCATGAGAAATGAAACTATTTCTGGCTGATTGGTGCAGGCAGCCAAGGACAAAGGCAGCTCACCTGTGGGGAAACAAACTCTTGTTCTAATCGACAAGGACGTAATAAAACCAACTTGAATGAGCTCATAATAAAGTTTGGAAAGCAAATACTCACCAAAATAAAATCCAAGCCTAGTGTTACGCTGAAAAAATGTTCCATTGGCTTTTGCTTGGACATCCGCTCCTCTCTGGACTAACAGCTTTACGTAATCAAAGCTCCTTCTTTCAATGGCGATATGCAAGGCTGTCTGACCTGTAGGTGGAGTTTGTCCAGAAAACAAAACTTTTTATCTTTAAGAGAAACATCCAAAACCACCTCAAGCATTAAGAATGTAACGTTTAAATATCTACTATTTAAATAATATGTCATAGAAAAAGGGTGTTAAAAATCAGAGACGACTTGATTTAGTTTCTTACCCTTATAACTATTGTCTGTATACGCTGCGTTGATTAAACCTTTTAGGTCCTGAGTCTTGTCTGCTACGTCAATCAGGACTTCAATGGTGTTATTTTTCCCATCTTTCAGGTTCAGCAAAGCTTTCAAGAGTGCTGTTTTTCCATTTGATTTATCTGAAAAAATTTAAATAGATTAAAAAGATGTCCTTCGTTAAAATTCACATATATTATTTGATAGCAATCCTGAATTTCATTCAGAATATCTAACAGCCTGACAAACCAGAGATTAAATTGGTGAAGGAAGCATTTAAAACTTCCACCTTGATTCTCAGTCCTACTGATAAGAAAATGTTCATAACTTCCACAGAGATTTTAGTAATACTGTAGTAAACAGCTAAATACTTTATTTTTAAACACTGTTATTCTGTGATTAAAAATGGAGCTCAGGCGAAGGTGAAACTGAATGAACTGATTACTCGCCTTCATCCACCTACCACACAGGCAATCAGCTTAGGAACCACGCTTCCGCGAAAGCCAATGAGCATCCAAAGTTAATCTCAAAAGGCCTCCAATCCGCAACTCATCTGCTCCTGTGCGCAGGCGGTGGTTGTGCCATGTGACCCCGTTTCAACCCACCTTCAGCTCCTCCTCCACCATCGTGGCTTAAACTTTATCAGGGTTTCATAACTCTGGGACTCTTACTGCATTCCGCGTCTCTTTCAACTGGTCCAGCAGAAGAACGCCATGTTGAGCCTGGTTCTGCCAGAGGTTTCATCCCAATGGGGAGTTTTTCCTCTCCACTGTTGCTTCATGCTTGCTGGACAGGTTCTTTCAACCTGTGTTATCCAAACTGGAGTTCAATCTTCCAGGTCCCTGATTGAAGCTCTAGTATCAGCCCACACAATCTACTGGATCTCCCCATGAAGCTCAGTATACCGTCTAGCTAACCAGCAGTCTACAGACTGACAAACTTCACCTATCTCCACTCCACCACCAGTTTCAGCCCTGGGGGGAAACAGCCCTTTATTTTACTCCTGTTCATGCATATCTATCAAAATTCAGCTCTGTGTTTCCTGCTGAGGTCAGAGCGCCAAAGACTAAAGTAATTGTATCAATCAAATTCTTCTAATTGTCTTTCCTCTTCATGTGAGTTTTTGAGATTGAAATGAAAAGCAAACATAAAATCACTTGTGTGATTCCTCAAGGTGATGTTTTCGGAATCCATTTACTCTATATCTTTGTGATTCCCACTAGCTCAGGTTAGGGATTACCACATCTATTGTTGTATCTGTTGATTTACAAGTTGTCATCTCTGTATGACTGCTTAACCATAGTCTACTGCAGGGTTTCTTTACTGTCCTTTGTGTTTTAGATGGGTCTGAAACACACCTGATTCAAATGTTTGCATTATCTCCTTGGCAGCCATCAAATGCTGCAAAAGCCTGCTGAACACCTCTTCATTCAGGTCAGGTGAGTGGAGGCAGGGAAACACTGAAAGCATGTAGGACAGTGGGCCCTGAGGATAATCGTTGAGAAATCCAGGTCTACTACAGCCACTAAGCAGTATCAATAGAGGATCGGTCCAAAATCAGCTTCATGTAGAATTGCTTTATCCCAAAGTATCGGGTGTGGGTAGTGACCATGTAACACACAGTGTGCTAGCATAGGCTAGGACCTAGCACTGGGCATATTGATCAATCTATCAATAATATTGATACAGAGGTCATCTGTATTGGTCAGATCATAGCATGATTAGTTTGATAGCCAAACAATTCACCTTTAAGAGAACTTCATACATTCAAATCATGTAGAGGAAGAAGGAGGATGGGATCTGCTAGAGACTTTTCTGCTGAAACTATCAGGAATGTTCGATTAATCAATGTTTTTCATAGTGTAGTGTGTGTGATCAGAAATGTAATTTTAGTCAAATAATTCAACTCTTATCAAAAGTTCTTTCAAATCTTAATTGTTTCACTGAAAGGAAAGATATCTATAGTATTAAAATTCTGTCTATCCTATTTAGGCTGTATGCGAGGGGACAGTTGGAGACTAAATAAGCTTAATAATGATTTTTTTTTACCTAGTTAAATCAAAAAGCCATGGATATAGGAATTATTTTTGTATGTATACACTGTTCAATTATTTTATATTACTTTAGTTTGATAATGAACCGAAAATAATTTGCCTGAAATGTATGTCATCAATTTTACCATAATCTTAATCAACTAACCAAAGGCAAAATCAGAATATTATTTATTGATCATATGTCAGATGAAGGTATCTGCATCTGTATCAATAGTTCTAGACCCTGATTACTTGGTATTGGATTGTTACCTGTATTCCCAGTACTGCTGACTTCTACTAGGATTTATTTTGACATCCAAATAAAGTCTATCAATAAATTAAGCAACTATCAACTTAAACATTTTGCAAAATAAAATACTTTCAATCACAACAATATATATAAAAACCGGTGCCTGCTTGTTGTAATATTGTCTATAAAGTTCAATTAAAAGAAATAATAAACATCAATCAGCCAACAGTAAGTTCATTCAAAATTCTGCTTTACATCATAAAGTAATAAAAAAAATATTCCTTAAGATCACTGCTGGCTCCCAGTTATTTTTAAAGGATAGTTTTAAATCTTGTTGATTATCTTCAAGACACTGAATTCTCCTGGACCTCAGTATATTGCAGAGTTTCATGCACAGTTTAGGTATAAACCATGAAAACACCAAAGGTCACCTGAGACCTCTTCCCTCAGGACTAGAAGTAAACAAGATGAGGATCATTTAGCTTCTATGTCTTTCAGCTCTGGAACAAACTGCTTAACAACCTGAGATCTGCAGAAACAGTTGGTTCCTCCAAATAGGACTGAAAACATTACTTATTGTTCACATAATTATCAATAGCTTCACTTCTCATCTGGTTTGGTAATTCATTTTTTTTCTGTTTGTCCTGTTTTATTTTGGGCATTTATATATTTGTTCTTCGTTGCTAATGTAAAATACTGAAGACTTTTTACGATGCCAAGGAAAGTGCTGTTTAAATAGTATCTAATAGTATCTAATAGTATTTAAAATTTATCATAAGCCAATTTCATATGTACATAATTTAAAGATGCAAGTGTCAGAAATAAACAACACATGAGTTATTTTCTCCATTTCTGCTTAAGGCAATATTTTCAAATAAAGAAAAAAAATCAGCAAAAAGCAGCACAAGACGGCAGCTTGTAGGACTGATAAGGTTGCCTCCGCTCTACTTGCCTACAAAGTCTGGGCTGGTAAGTCGCTTATCATTAACTTGCAGGTAGTCAAGCAGGCCGATAAGCTGTGCAGCGTCCCCCTGAGATGCTGCTTTGAATACTTTGTCCCTTGTGAACGCCGTACCAAAGATGTTGTCAGAAGGGGCCTTAGGTCTGAAATGTGAAAATAAAAAAACAACAGCGATGAACAACTGTTAATATTTATAATCTGTCAACATTTCTATGAAGGAAAGCATTTTTTATTGCTTTTAAAGAGCCAGATAGAGGTCAGAGAAAACAGACAGAATAAAGAGGACATTCAATGAGCTGACACCTGTTTACATGAAATATGAAACCATGAAGCTTATCTGACATTTCCCTGCTGGGTAAACTGTGAGATGGACCTGGAAACACCACTTATTTGTTGATATAATAATAACGTACCTTGATAGTAAAACATTGCTGTCCATCGGCACAGGACTAGTCTCTGAGTTGGAGTTTTCAAGAAGCCAATCAAGACCCCCTTTCTCATCCCCTGAGTCTGTTTCTGGCTTCTTTTTGTCCTTTTGGTCTTTTCCTCCATTACTCATTTTGAAAAACCAGTGTAGCAACAGAAACTGACGGCTATTTATATGCTAAAGCTCTCTTCAGACAGCAGGTAAAAGAGGCTCCAGCTCCCCAGGTGTAGAGTTGCAAAAACAAATGGGAAGCACTGAGGTAGTGGATTTTTACAGCCTTGATGCTCCACCCTCTGCATGTGAGCGCGTGTCTGTTCGAGCAGTTTTAACTTGTTGGGTAGAAAAGCCACAGGGAATGAAATTCTTTCATCAATAATGAAGCAATAATGAAATGAGTTTCCAATAAGCTAAACAGAAAAAAACAAAATCCTTCTTTAGAGTGCTTGAACTGCTTTTTTATTATTATTATTATTTTTTTAGTTTTTACGGCTTGTTTTTATGGACAGTAGGCTGAAATGAAAGGGGGTACGAGAGAGGGAGAGACATGCTGGAAACAACCACAGGCCGGATTTATACGTACCCCCATCGCCCCTGTTGAGGGCTCAGGCCTCCTTACCTGGGTTGTGCACGTTAACCACTGCACCACCGAAGCACGGCCTCTGTTACTGTTACTGTGTGGAGGGACACCTCCGCTCCTTTGCTCCAAAGAAACCTAAAAGCTTGTCATGAAAAAAAAAAGGTGTCAGCACCAACCCTAAACAAATAAAGTACTTTGTCTGTAACAGCAAAAGTCTTCATTTTTGATATATTAGTGAAAGTTATTCAGTTATCTACAATAAAGCTTACATTAACTGCTTTGATAATAGTAAAATAATAATAATAATAAACGGATAGCTATTACTTACCTTGAAAAGTATTTTAGTTTAAGAAACATGTACCATTTTGTAATGAAATTTATTCTCATATTTTTTATTTAACTATATTACATCATGGACTGATTGATTGAAAACCAACTAAACAGTCAGTAGTAGATCAATTTCTTGCCATTCGAAACTGAATATAAGTGCAGATATGTAAGTTAGAGGCAGATGAGTCTAAACAGGAACAATATATTATCATGTCTGTGGTTGTATAATGACTTTACCATAAATGAGAGCAGTTAGTTTGTTATAAAACAAACCAGAGAGGAAAAAATAAACATTATGTTAATAATTCCCTAAAAAAAAAAAAAAAAAAAAGGAAAAAATAAACATTATGTTAATAATTTCCTAAAAAAAAAAAAACATTTGTTTTTTCATTTTGTTTTTCTTTGCTGTTACTAGTCTTTGGAAATGGGTGCGACTTAATGCAGGAGTTAAATAATGAAACATTGTCTTTCTCCACAGTGTATGGGGTCACTGCTTTAATTCTATTAGAAGTATATGACAAAAAACGGACAGAAAAAAACGGGGTAAATCATCGAAGTGTAAAAGGAAGAGTAAAAACCTGTTTTTTTAGTCACAGTTTCATTGACTCTGTGTGATAAAGAAAGCAGTTTGAATGTGGGATATTTACTGTTAACACAAGGCAGGGCCAGAAAACAAAAGGAAGCACATTTTGCTTTTTGCCATAAAATGAAAAAAAAAGCATCTTAAAACATCTTTTACTGACAAGACTCCTTCATTGCACATAATTTGCATTTTTATCTTAATGAAATGGATCCCATAAGATGGAGCCATTTTTTGAATCTTATAAAACTCTAAATTAATGTGAATATTTGTTGCCTGTAGGAAAAAAGATTTGCAATTGTTTTGCTGCCCATAAAAGAGATCTCTATTTTTTTTGTATATATAGTGTTTTGTAGTTGGATTATATGAACACAACAGCAGGGGGGGATTTACCATTGGGCAATACTGGGCAGTTGCCTAGGGCCCCAAGTTCCTGGGGGCCCCATAAAACTCTGTTTACATGTATGGTTAATTATGGTGACCAGAGTTGGGTTTCTGAAAAGGAGAACACTTTTTTTTGGGCGGGGCTGCTGGGTCGCTGACTGAACCGAACCGGCCTTTTAAACCCAGCCATCAGCTCCAGGGCTGGTCCGAACCCGACCCAGTGACGGTATGCTTCCCCTGGCAGGTATTGGGGTAGCACAGAGCCACTGTTGTCCAGGCTACCATTACTCGGTCGGGTTCGGTCGCTCTGCCCCCTGCTGGCTCCCTGCACTGGACTAGCCCCGGAGCTCATGGCTCGATTCTGCTGCACTATAGTCGACCCCCAGGACATTTTCTTAGGTATGAAAAGTAGGACATGTCCAGGAAAAAGAGGACATCTGGTCACCCTAGGTTAATACAACTATTCCTTATTTGTGCCCATTATGTTTTTGATAAAAATCCTTTGGCTAAAATGCCATTAGAACGCTTTTAATGTTAAGTGTGTCTCAAATGGAAAATGGAGAACAGATAAGCAGATCATGGCTTGTCTACAGTGAGAAGGACTGTAGTATTTACTTTTGCTGTCACCTTTTTGGAAACATAGGAAAGAGCAGTCAGCTAAGTGAGCTTAGTGCTTGGAAAAAAATCTTTCATTCCTTTTGCGACGGCATGAAAAGTCAGCTGAGTACAAAACATAGAGAGGAAAACAACAAGAAAAGGGACAAGAAGAGAGAGACAAAACCCAGAACAAATAATGCATTTCTATTCTATTAAAATTTCTATATCTGTATAATGGGTCAGTTTTATGTGTTGTCTTCTCAATTCAGAGGGCCCCCTGCCTGTCTTTGCCTAGGGCCCTCAATTTCCTGAATCAGCCCCTGCACAATAGAGCTAATAAACCAGAAGCTAGATAATCAGAAGTAAAATTTTATAATAATTTTTGTCTTTTTAAGGCACTGAGGGACGGCAGAGTGCACCTCCACAGTGGAGGGCACCTGATGTATTTTTTGATAGTCTTCTGGCCTTCATGCAGCTTCTTTAACACACTAATAAACAGCAGAACAAGGTTCCCTGAATGGAGAACCAATTAAATGACATTACAATTCCCCTAAGTATGTGATTTGACCTCAGAACCCTCAGGAATTTGATTTTTTTTTAAAACCTTTGAAGGAGCACTTAACTTTTCAAAATAGTTCATAGTTAAAAACCTCAAACCCAGTTGAAGAAAGAACATATCTGAAAAGAGGAGTGGGCTGCATTAAATAAAATATTATAGTAAAATAAACAATATTTAAAGAGTACAAATTTACATTTAAGTATTTATGTTTACCAGAGTTCAACATTATAATCAATCCATCTCAAAATGGGTAATTCATTCATTTAATTTCCAGTCCCCCTCCTGCTATTTTATTCATATTCCCCTAGGGGGCGCACCCCCCTACTTTGGTAAATTCTGCGTCCACAGCAAACCTACACACACACACACACACACACACACACACACACACACACACACACACACACACATATATATATTCTCATTAGTTTTTGTTAAATAATGAATCTGCTGTTGCTTGTTTGTATCCTCAATGCATCAATCTTTACCTGCTCTGACATCATTATGTTCTAATATTTACATGTCTATGGAGAGGAATTGTTGTGTTATATGTGAGATAAGTAGCAGTAAATTTATGAGCTGGTCACTCTGGAGCATTGCACTAAAGTTTTTGGATGCATTTAGTTGCTGCAGGATATTGCAGTTCGAGTCTTGAAGAGATAAAGCCCTAAAATATGTTATGATGGAATTAGAAGATGTTCTGAGAGCAGTTGTGCAGAGATGCTTTTATTTGGATGTTAGAAAGATACCTACACCATAATAGAACTACATTTTTTTTTTTTACAGGAATTCTGAATGACTGAATCTCCTCATAAAAAAATAAATAAATAAATGAAGGTGTGTCGCTACACAAAGTACAGTGAAGAAATATATTATTTGTGTTAAACTCCATGAACCAAGCTGTGCCTAAATGTTCTGTCATGCAAAGGAATGTGGGCAGCTGTATATCTCCTATGTGAAAAGGGAATAAGGAAAGTCTGGAGGTCTCTATGCTGAATGAAATATCGAAAGAAAGTATCCTACCTCCTCGTTCTACCTGCTTCCTTTCAACCAGCACTATTCAGACAGCGATGATCACCGGGACCGCTGATTTGTATATTATTAATACGGAGGCATTAACTTTGACACCCTTAACAGTTAGCTAGGCTGCCACAGAGCAACACCACATGCAGACTGACATCTAATCACATTAAGACGGATTATTTACCTAACTTTAACCTTGTTACTCAATTTTTACCTTCAAAATAAACGTCTTGTTCATAAATTCCTCTTAGAAACATTCAAGACTGGAAATAAGTAGCTTTAACAATCAGTCTATAGCAGGGGTAACCAATTAAAAATCTTGAGGGTCTGAATAAAGAAAACCATCAACCAGTAAAGGTCCAGAGACATTTCTAATTATAATCCGTTACTTTAAACAGCCCAGTTTCTTCCTTATTGATATTATCAAGTTTATCTTGATTGATTGATTGATTGATTGATTGATTGATTGATTGATTATCTCACAGTGGAGAAATGTACTCATTACATCAGCTCAAACTGTCAAATAAGAAGAATGGTCCAAAGGAAGAAAAAGGTGCATAGGATATATACAGTATATACAGTGTGTCCACATATGACAGCCTTATTTTTTCTAACAGTTGGATCATTACATAGGATTATTTCACAGGATGTTTACATTGGTATTTATATAGATGGTTATTTATAAATATGTATATAGTTATTACACAGGGTATGAAATAATAAATTATTACCATTGTAGTGTCGCATTGTAGAATCTGATGGCAGCAGGGAAGTATAACCTGCGGTAGCGCTGCTTTTTCCAAACAGGGTGTAAAAGTTTGACTAAAGGAGCTGTTTGGCTCCTCTACAGTCTGGTGCAGAGGGTGGAAGGTGTTTTCCATGATGGATGGAAGCTTGGATAGTACCCTCCTCTCAGCCACTTCCTCCACTGAGTCCAGAATGCAGCCTAGGACAGAAACAGCCTTTCTCACCACTTTGGTCAGTCTATTTCTGCCCTGCTCTGCGCTGCCAGGGGCCAGGCAGACAATAGTGTAGAGGAGGGCTGATGCCATCACAGAGTCATAGAAGGTTTTAAGCAGGGTCCTGCTCACTCCAAAGGACCTCAGCCTCCTAAGGAGGTGGAGGAGCTTCTGGCCCTTCTTGTACAGGGTGTCAGTGTTATAAGTCCAGTCCAGT